TTGCTTGGTCTGTGGCTCGGGGTGGACATTCATGTGGCTCACAGCAAGAGCTGCCACGCATCAAAAGTTCCTGCTGTGCACCCAGCCCTCTCCCATCTCATCCTCACAGCTACAGAAGATGCTATCACCCTCACCCCGTCCCACCTAACAGACAAGGAACTCAAGGGCAGAGAATTCACACTCCTGCCTAACTGACATCAGTGTTCTGAGTGTTCTGCACACTTCTCTCATTTGTCAGCAACAACCCTATAAGGTTCGTTGTGCTGCTCTCTGGACATATAGGTAAGACAGTTAAGCCTTAGAAGGTAAGTGACTTTCTTAGAGTGATGCAGCTCATAAGAGGCAGAGGTCCAGGCCCACTTGCCCACACTGGATGGGTGTGAGTCGTCCGTAAGCTGTAGCCTGACATCGCATGCTTGTTCCCCAGGATCAAGGTGGCTCCTGGGGAATGGGACACACTCCAGGCCACTCAATGGAATGTCCAGAAGCTAAGACCTCACCCCAAGCAGAAAGGAAGGAGATTCAGCCTTTCTATTACTTGAAGAGAAAAACCTACTGGATCACTCCCTTCCCCAAAACAATAAAAGGCTTAAAGGTCTTTGCTCTTAGTTCAATTTTATTGCTCAATGTCATATCTGAGTGCGCACTGCCCTCGACTGACATAATTTTCATTTTAAAATTGTTTTTTGCTTAATTTCTCTTAAGGGATTTTTTTTTCTTTTTTGGTAGTAAGCTTAGTGGCTGGCCCAGGAAGTTCTCACAGCTCTTCAGTACGGGTCTCATTACTGCCAAGGAGAGCCTCAGCCAAGCTGCAAACAGTCTGTGAAGGAACACACTTGCCACCTAGTCCCAGAGAGACCCTTAGAGTGGGAGCTGGGGGTCTCCACGGCTCCTCCGGACTTCCCAAAACACAAGATCAACAGCAGGAAACCCCAGGACCAATCACAATGATCGGTTTCTCCCTCACTGCACATTTCACATTTCCCCTCCTACCTTCTTTCAGGTCCTTCCCTCCTGGTGCTCCTCCTCCCTCCCCCCACCCCAGGCAGGAAGATCAGAAACCTCTTCATAATCACCTGCTGAGCTTCTGCACCACCAAAACCCCTCTTAGGGACCCCTGGGGAGGCCACTGACCTGTGGCCACCTGGCCTTTGCCTGGGAGCTCTCCAGTAGGCTAATGGGATTACAAAGCCCTCTGGAAGTGTTGGTGGTTGAGGCTGGATGTAATTAGCGCTTTGTGATCCCTAGAGGAGGAGCAGGGGTGGCTGGGCCTGATTTCACCAATGCCACCTTCCTTCTCCTAAGCATTTTTTGTTTGTTTGTATTTTGTTTAAAAGATAATATTTACTAAGAGCTTATTATATGCCAGGAACTGTTCCAGGTGCTTGGCATGAATTGATTTGATCCTCATAACAAGCCTACTAGGTAAGAACTACTAATATCCCCATTTTATAGATGGGGAAACCGAGGCACAACTAGCAGGGATTTAAACACAGGCAGTCTGGCACCAGAGGCTGAATTCTTAAAATTTCTGTTGGGTGTCTGCTTCTACATTAAGCACAGGCTACCCAGAAAAAAATAATGCTTCAAGGAAACAAGACCTTTATGTTACCACGCAAATGTCAAATCAGATGAGGCAAGAAATATTCTTCAACACTGCCCCTTTTGGCTTTCTGAGCAGCACTGTGGTGGTCAAACAAGTGCCTAATGAAAGGTGTTAAAAGGGAGCCAAGAAGAAAGTAGCTGATCCATTTTCTAAGTAAGATTGGTGTGATATAGCACCAGCTATGTTCATTGTAAGAAATATTGGAAGAACACTGGTCACGACGATGCAAGGAAACCAAATCACATCTGATGGTCTCAAAGGTTGTGTTTTTGAAGTGAGCCTAGCTGCTCTGCAGAATGATGAAGTTGCATTTAGAAAAGTCAAGCTAATTACTGAGGGTGTTCAGGGCAAAAGCTGCCTAACTTCCACGGCACTGACCTTACCCGTGACACAATGTGTTCTGTGGTCAGAAAATGGCAGACCAGGGCTGAAGCCCACATTGATGTCGAGACTACCCGATGGCTATTTGCTTTGTCTATTCTGTGTTGCTTTTACTAAAGATGCAACAATCGGATTTGAAGGACCTCCTACGCTTAGCATCCACACGTCCGCCAAATCCGGAAGATGATGATGGAAATCATGATCCTCGAGGAGCAGACAAATGACTTGAAAGAAGTGGTCATAAACTGGCTTTAGACAGCACTGGGAAAGACGCAGAGAAAGCCTGACAATCTATTTCTTTGCTCCATGATGTCTTGGTTAGAAAAGCCAAAATGGTGAAGAAGCCCAGTTTGAACTAGGAAATCTCATGGAGCTTCACAGGGAAGGTAGCAGTACCGGAAAAGCTACTGGGGATCTGAAGTTGAATGAGCTGATGGATATGAGCCCCCAGTCCAAGAATCTGTTTAAAATTCAGACATTTAATGGTGACAAATAAAAAAATCCCATTTGTGATATAACTCCATTCTGAGAGAAGGAAGGAATAGAGCCCTTCTCTTCTATCCATGCCTCCTCCAAGGGTTCTGCCTGTATTGTAGCCACAGTGGCAGATGGTGGTGGCACAGCCAGGCACGGAGACTTAGCTGCTGGAGGCACTGTGAGAGGAGGGTGACATCAACCAAGTAATTACACAAGGGGATTTGAAGTTCCCACCAATCTAATAGGTGCACAAATATACAGATTCCCAGGCCTCGTCCCTGGAATTCTGAGTCTGTTGATCTGAGTAGGTATCCAGAAATCTGTTTTGTAAAAGGCACCCAAGGTCATTCTTGCTTTCAGACAAGTTGGGAATCACTTTGTAACCTGAAGTTTGGTGCTGTTGCTGTCACACTGGCCTATTCTGAAAAGCCACCCAGGGAGCCTCTGCTGCCCCTTCCATGGTTCGAGAGGGAAGGTCCCACAGTCTGGGGAAATTCTGGTGGTACCAGGGCAACAGGGAGTCCTCAAAAGCAGATAAAGCCAGGCTTTCCCTCACTATTTAGTTGTCCTCAGGAACCAGGAGTCTGGGGGAGGAGGGCTGCTCTTGGGGGCCCTCACCTCAATTCCCTCTCCTATTGCCCAGAGCATCTTCTACCTTCTAGTGGTTCCAGTTGACGCGAGGCCCAGACCTAGCCCTGACCTGGCCCTTTAGCAGGTGTGACAGTCCCTTAAATGGAGAGGTTCCCTGGGAATTTGAGGCTGAGAATTCAGAAATACTTAGGATGTGCTCCCTGACCCTGGGTAACTCCAGTCTTGTCATTCAGCCAGAGATGGAGACGTTAACAGGTAACCTGAATCTAACATGGATAGGGTCTAAAAGAAGTGTGAAGAGAAGTCCAGGAAAAGAGAGAAGTGAATGGCTAAACCTATGTGGAAGCAGAAGTGACATTTGAGGGCTGAGTCCCAAAGAATGAAGGAATGGGAGCTAAACAGATGGGGAAGGAAATGTCATTTCACGCTTTTCTGCTTTATATTTCTTCTTTTAGGGAAATACCCTTCCCCACTTTATAGTAATCCTGCCCAGTCCCTGAAATGCAGGTGAAGCTAACTCTGCTTCCCTTTCTCCTGATGGGCATTTGACCCAGACCCCTAACATAGCACACAGTCTTCACCCCCTCCCTGCCCCAAAGGACAGGTAGAGCAACCAGGCCAATCAGAGAGCTGCCTAACAGTAATGCTTACGCTCTGGGAAAGCCACTCCCACTTCCTGCAGAATATTTGGTGCAAAGGTGACCACACAGGGCTGTAAGGCCCTGATGTGTCATGTGTCACTAACTGGAAGAGGACCTGGCTGAGACTGAGAGGGTGGAGACAAGCTGCAAGGCGAGATGGAAGGACAGGAGGGCCTCGTGGTGGCGTTAAGTCCTAGATGCCCTGAGCTTCCAAGCTATACCAGCCTATAAAGTCTGCCCCCCCCAACCCCGGTTCTCTCTCTCTCTCTCTTAAGCAAAAAGACCCTAATAAACGAGCAGACAAACAGAATTTGCAAAGGGGGCAATCAGGAGAGGTTGGGGTATGAAGAGGGTGGAGAAAGGACCAGAGCAGAGCTGAAGCCAGGGAGGGAGCCGTGGCTGGGAAGGTGGGCGGGGTGGGTTTGGAAGGACTTGTGCTCCTTGGGGACTGAGTCACGAAGATTTTAACATGAAAATGGTGCTGCCAGATGTGTGCTTGGAATGTAGACCCCGTGTCACTGTGAACAAATGCCTGAGTAAAAGAGACTAGACCCTGGACTCCAGCCAAGCTGGACAGGCTGGTGGTGGGCAGAAGACAAAACCTTTGGGCCTCAGAGAACCTGGAAAGCAAGAGGTGGAATTGATATTTACAAGATGGAGTAGACAAAGCTGAATGTGACACTGTGATTTGTAATGAGAAATATGTATTTGGCTTTCATCCCTGTCTCCCACACAGAGCTCCTGAAGCCCTTAGAACTTCCTCTGAGTTGAGCAGGAGAAAGCTGTCTTTGTTATGTTGATGGTGACTTTACAAAAGCACCTAAGAAAGGGGGGCTGGTTACCAGGAAAACCAGATGGTTAGAGGGTTGGAAATCTCAGTACCACCATCCCCTGCCTGTCATCCCTACTCCTGGGAGGGGAAAGGGGCTGGAGATTGAATCAGTCACCAAAGCCCAGTGATTTAGTCAATCACACCTATGTAATGAAGCCTCCGGATGGATGGATTTGGAACCTCAGTCCAAAAGGATGTGGTTCTGGGAGCCTCCAGGGTGGTGAATACACCCCTTCCCACATATCTATGGGGGAACTACTTGTAAGTATAAATAAGCTATTAGAGAACAGAACCCATCTCTGTTTGGGGGCTGTGGGAATTCTTATTTCTTCAGTGGGGAAAATGAGAGCTGAAACCCAAGACCACGTGACTTGCTGAGAAATCTCTGGCCCCATCCACAGGGCTGTCTTCAAGGGCCCAGTGCAGTCTTCAAGGGCCCAGTGCAGCACTTCGGTGGCTTGCTGTTTCTTACCTCCAGGTATTGATTAGCCAGGCGCAGGGCACGATCAGTGACGTTAAATATGTCTCTCCAGTTGAAGCTGGCCACGTCATCAGCCTGGCTCTCTGGAGCACCCTTGTAGAGGAAGTTCAGCACAGCTTCGGCAGTAATGCCTTCTTCACCAAACTGCTTATTCCAAAAGCCTTTTACTGTTGGGTTCGCCAGGGTGTCCTTGGGAAGAAGCAAAGCAGTCACAGCATTTAGAAAATTCCATGGGATCTTTGGTCTTGTTCTTGGGTCATTTCCAATTTTTAATAAATAGAGTTAGAGACTCTAAGGCAAGCTAAAAAACTTGTGGGTTTTCTTTTATTATAGGTGTACCTATCTAGATCTCATCTTCCCCCCGCATGCAATCTCTATAATAGAGGAAGGGTGTGTATGTTGAGGTGGGGGGAGAGGGGCAGGGGAGGTGGTATACAGGAAACTTTCTTTTTCTTATGGATCTTTTCATTCTCTTTTAATTATCCCTGCTATATTGAACCCTTGTCTCCTGGCTTTGCAGAGTTGGAAATTAGAACGACCTTTGCAATTACAGAAGTGGCAGTTCCTTGAGGACACCCCTCTTTGAATCTGAGGCCTACAAGTGAATTCATAAAAGCAAGAAACTTCAGGAAGCCACTGGCCTTATAGCAGTCTTTACATTTCCCCAGAACTGAAGAAACAGATTTCCCATCCAAAGTCAGTGACTCCACTGGGTGACGTCTTCTGGAATCAGTGCCTTTGGGCCCTGCTTGTTATATTTTGATCTGATGCCAGTCGTGATTAGCCCTTTATTGGGAAAAGGAAACAAGTGGCACTTTCCTGCCCGTCCCCTTCCATCCCCACCGTCCTTACTCGGATCACGGCCATCTGAGTGCTCTCCTCAAAGAAGTAGCGGACCTGGGGCCCCACTTCTTCCCAGGCTTTGACCAACTTCCTAACGCGCTCCAGCTCTTCAAAAGTCAAGTTGGCCTAAAACCAGACAGAGGCAGACAAACCACGGAAAGGAAAGCGAGAGAGAACCTTTAGTTATGTCTTTCCTGCTCATGTCAGAAACCCTCAATGTTTAGGAAACACTTTTCTAGGCTTTGCCTTAATTTTCTCAGTCTACTGACATTTTCCAGAACAATCTGCTATTTCCCAGACTCCCAGATTGACAGAATCTAATGTTTTAGTATCTCAGAGGCACATGTAATATTGATGATGTTACTATCTCAGAATCTAACTAAAGCTAGGTTTGGATTCCCTGTGAGCAAATGCTCTTCCTGTCACCCTCCTTGTATTTATTTCAGGCAGCCAGGGTTCCGAGAGCCCTTCCGTTAGGGATATAATGCAGGCGTGGGGAAAGAAAACCTCATCGCAGGCTGGGTAGAGAGGGGAGGGCCTAGGCAGGGGGTGCTAGGGCAAAGCATTTGGATGATGCGGGAGAAACTCAAGAGTCTACTTAGCAAAAAACAAACAGGAGCCTCACTACCAGGAGGGCACAGTCTCTCTCCCCCTCTCCCTCTCCTTCTCCTCTCTTCTCTCCCCTTCTTTCTCCCTCTCTCTCATCCTTCTGGGTGGTCCAGGGTAGAAGGGACAAGGCCAGCTGGAACCTTACATTCTTCAGGATCCTGCGTGTGGCAGGAGAATCCGGAGTGAAGAGGATTTTTCCCATCAGCAGCGGCTTTGCTGCCCTCCAAGCTATTTTGATTAGAGGGTCGGACTCCAGGCTCTGGATCAGTGCATTACAAAAGCTCGCTGACAGGAGAGAAGGGACAGATTTTATAGAAACTCCTGCTGCTCAGAGCTAAACGTGGTCATTAATGTGTTCAAATCACATGCCTTATTCAACTCTATGCTGGAGGATTTTACAGATAACCTAAATTGATAGGCTATACCCCACCAGTAACCAGCTCGTCGTTAGAAAGTAACTAAATGCCACAGTTCATCTCAATAAGGGCCTCATCAGAGAAACAAAGGATGGGGTTTGCCCCATGGTTTTCTTCGCTTTAGAAGAAGGAAGCTGAGGAGCCCGCTTGTGATTATTGCAAGCAACAGAGGCCATTCTCAGATGAAAGGGACGCAGAGGCCACACGAGGCCTCTCCTTGGAATCTCGGCTTTAGTCTCAATGATTTCCCTTCAATTAGCTGCTTAACTTCTTGGTTGTGTGGCTATTTTAGGGCCCAGTGACGTTTAGTGCATGCTTCGCTGCCTGTTTAATGTTTAACGGGAGGGTCACTCAGTTACATTTCTTCCCCACCCCACTTTCCTTTACCCTATATATAAGAGCCAAAAAAAATACTGAAAGGTGGGAAAGTGGACTTGCCAGGGACTTGCCATTGGAACACGATTCAGTACTACGCACACAGATTTTCAGCGCATTGTGTTTGTAAAAACACCCCACAGCCGTGTTTACTTGCCAGGGCCCTTCTGACCTGAGCTTGGCTTGCAGTTCTGGGCTGCCTCCTCATTTGTCTTTCTTCTCTTCCTCTAGAATGTAACCCTAGTTCAATCAGATCAGTGGGAAATGTCCTCTCTGTTCCCTTTCCAAGTGGGTCTCAGTTCTTTCCATGGCTCACATCCAGAACTCTGTGCACACCACCCCCTTCCTATAAGGAGAAATGCTTTTCTGGGAGGAGAAGCTCTTTGCCCAGACCCCTCAACAAGAGCAGGGGAGAGTCAACCCTGGGACCAGTTTCACCTGAAAGCAGCAAACCTTCAGCTTAACTGGCACCAGAGCCTGAATTATACACAGGACACAGAAAACTTACTTGTTCTTTTGTCATAAGAATAGATAGGATCTTTCCTCGTGGAGTCAATCCCCAGGAAGGCCTTATAATTATTGTCTTCGTACCAGTTGAAAGAAAACACCCGAGAGCCACCTCCCTCTGGGTAGCCACACAAGAGGTCAGACAGGACATCAGTCAGCTGAGTGAAGGTCTCTGGACCACCAGTCTGCATGAGGCGCCTGGTCACCCACAGCAAGTCTTGAACACTCGGTCGATGGATGAACTAGGGCAAGGTAAAGGTTTCAGGTTGTTTTAAGGCAGTCAGAGTCATAATGTACTGTGAAATCAGGTTCCAAAGTATTGGGGAGACCTCCACATAGGTATCTGACTTCCATATTTAAAAGAAAAACATCCATATTCTCAGCAATCATGAACTCTACTGCCATCCACTCAGGGCCTAAGAGGAAACTAAGGGGCCAGGGGTAGGTGGAGGTGGAAAAGGGAAGGGAAAGAGGGATGGAAAGAGACTTTGGTTGGGGTGATGAATGCATAATGAACTATGCAAATGATGTTTTGTTAGTTGTACACTGGAAACCTAGATGGTTTTGCAAACCAATGCACCCTAATAAGTTCAATTAAAAAAGAAACTAAGATAAGTCTTAAAGAACATCAAAGAGTGAACCCCAGTTCATTTTAATGTCACTTGTCTCTCTCAGTCCCCTTTACTTGAATTTCTTGGGAATAGGTCTTTGGGGAAATGTAGAAAGTACTTCTCTGTAAACTAATTTTTGGGTTCTATTATTCCACCAAGATGGAGATATTGAAAAAAAAACAACAACTAGGAAATAAAATGATAGCGGAATGGTGCTGTCCTAGAAAGGTAAGATCTGAGTAAATTTCTTTGGGCAAATAATAATTTAGAATTTAGTTTCTTATAATTGGAAAATTATCTTATTAGCTTAATTTTACCAAATATGAACTCTTCCTTTTCCTGATATAGGTGGTTTGTGATTTCTTTGTGTGTGTGTGTGTGTGTGTGTGTGTGTGTGTGTGTGTGTGTGTGTGTGTTTTAACATACAAGCAAATATACAACAGATGAAGTCTCAATACTTGGAAAAAGCCCTGGCTGGTGTGGCTCAGTGGTTGAGCACTGGCCTGTGAATCAAAAGGTCACTGTTTGATTCTAGTCTAGGGCACATGCCTGGGTTGCGGGCCAGGTCCCCAATAGGGAGTGGGCAAGAGGCAACCACACAGTGATGTTTCTCTCCCTCTCTTTCTTTCTCCATTCCCCTCCCTAAAAAATGAAAATAAAATCTTAAAAAAATACTGGGAGTCCTGGCTGGTGTAGCTCAGTGGATTGAGTGCAGGCTGCAAACCAAAGTGTCGCAGGTTTGATTCCTAGCCAGGGTACATGCCTGAATTGCAGGCCATAACCCCCAGCAACCACACATTGATGTTTCTCTCTCTCTCTATCTCCCTCCCTTCTCTCTCTATAAATAAACAAACAAACAAACAAATAAATAAACAAAATCCCTGCATTTATTTAAAAAATACTTGGAAAAACATTTTAAAAATATTTTAAAAATTCTGCACCCAACTAATTAGAGGCTGGTGATCTCCTCTCCATTCAAGGTACCAGTTGCACTACCCGGCCTCATCTTTTGAAGGTAGGTCTGGAATGCTTAGAACTAAGTAGAGGGCTTTCAGAGTGACCAGGGTCTCGGCTCCCATAATGCCATCTGGCTTTGCTTTAAGGAAAAACACAAAATAAAAACAATGCTGCTTTTATTCTCCTAACACATGTTATTACTCATTTTCAAAGGCACGTGGGAATTTTAAAAACCACTAGGATTCAGTCAGGTGAGACTGAGAGCAGATCCTGTGCTGCAGTAAGTGATGTTTACCTGTCATCCCCTCTCTTTGTCCACATGCCAACGCTTGCCCTCTGAAACTACTGAGCACCAGGCAGAACCTGCACAGTGAGTCATGCCTGTAATCACAGTCTAGGCTTCAATAATAATGTCGGAATCTCAAATTGCTTCAACGGCAGTACATCTTAGGACAGTCTTGTAGAGGGTGATTATTATGTTGCTCATTTAATCGAGGCACTCAGAGATGAAGGGGCTGTTCCAGGGTCAAATGGTCTAGTATCGGTTAATATACACGGGGCTGTCTGCTTCAACCTATCTGGACAGGGAAGAATCCTTCTGGAACTCCCACACAGAATTAAGAGTGTTGATATGCTTTGGGAATTTTGTTTTTTTACATTCTCAATCAACTTGAGACATATTATAGTGATATGAATTTTTTAAATGCTTATAAATAAAAGAATGTTAAGTGGAGGCTCCCAGAACAGCAGGTGGCCTCCAGTACAATGAGCCCTCTCTAACTTTCCCTGTACAGCTCTCTGCCCAAGTTGAGTTTAGCTTTATGAAAACAGACCCCAACCATGCAATTTTCCAGCTTGTCTAAGCCCAAGTCAGCTGGAGGGGAAAAACGTTTGGGGAAAGTTGTTTTGCCTCCCTTATAATACTCATCATACTTGGAAGCAATTGTTCACATCTCTCTCCCTGTTGGACTGTATGTTTCACAAGGGCAGTGACCATATCTGTGCATCGTTATGCCCCCAGCACTTCCCATCTACTGAGTAGAAGATCGATTTCTATATGGGCAAAGGCTTGTGCAACCAGATGCCCTTTAAAATGCACGCATCTTTCACAAAACAACACACAAAAAAATCAACTACTTTCACTGTGATGAAATGAGGCAATATATGTAAGACACTCAGTCCTGCAAGGATCCTGTGCCTGTGTCCTACCACTGCTGTGGAATACAGACTTACATGGATTTCATCAGTATAACAGAATAATGGACCACTTTGGTACTGGAAACACTTAGATTCCATTGTGAGTCCACTGATAATTTGTGCCACACCAGACAAGGCTGCATTTCTCCCCAGGTGTGAAACCAGGAGGATGGTTCCCTCCCTTTTGCCTTCGACTCAGGAGCACAGATAATTTAGGATGTAAACAAGTGCTTTGAAATTGCTAGATGGAAAGGTCAAATGTATTTCTCCATGAACAGGTTTGAGGTACAATTAAATTGTTTGACATCATAAGTGTAGTAAATTGGTGGAAAGGTAAAATAAAACTGTAATGAATTCTCATCAGGCCACTCACCTCTTGAATTCTTGGTGACATATCAGATAATGTTTTTCCCCAGGATCTCAGATCGACACCTTGAGAACTGCTGTCTAGGAGTGTAGGGAGCTGTAATTGATAGGAAAAATAGTTTTTAAAACATTTTTATACATATATGATATGTATAAAACATTTGTATACATAGCTATGCATACACGCATAGGCACTACCTTATCTGCATGTCTGAAGAACATTTCCTCCCTCCTTTTTTTTAAGGCAGGAATGTCATAGGGAGTAATGATTGTTTTTTTTTAAGTTTTGTTTATTTATTTTTAGAAAGAAGGAAAGGGAGGGAGAAAGAGAGGGAGAGAAACATCTATATGAGAGAGACACAGATTTGTTGCCTCTTGTACACACTCCACACCCCAACAGGGGAACCGACCATCAACCCAGGTATGTGCCCTGACCAGGAATCGAACAGGCAACTTTTCACTTTGTGGGACTGTGCCCAACCAACTGAGCCACACAAGCCGGGGAATTTCCTTCCTTCTTTCTAATGCAAGACTGCTTTCAGAAACAAACTTCTTTTATCTAATTGAGAAAATCAAAGACTCTTATTCCAAGTTACCCTGCTAAAATAGTCAATCACAAATAGTTTCATGGTGACATGAAATACGCCAAATGATTCTGATTGCTAGTTCAGTGACAGCACACAAGACTCCCAAAGGAAGGAAAACGGAGTGTAAAGGAGGCTGCCTGTGGTGGTGCCCATCTCTTCCCCTTGGGCTTTGTATACAGGCTTAGGCTTCCTCATCATTGTTCAAGTCTTTGCTCCCTGTGTCCATTAAGGCAGGTTTGTGGCTTTCTCTGCTCGGCACTACTTTCTTATGTAAATGATTTAGCCAGTCATATCACCTTTCTTTCAGGCTGCTACTGGCAGCGTGAAAGAGAAAGAAGTTCCCTTGCCACTCCGCAGTGACAGCCCAGTTCTGGAGACTCTGGATCCATGGGACAAGGCGGAACTGTTCGTGCCTTTTCCACAGCTGTGGGGAACGTGGAAATCCACTTGCTGGTTCTAAGTCCCAGAGCCTGTTGCGAACACCTTGTTTTCCAGAAGCCAAGGTCAAGTCCTGAGTGAATGACTTCATTCTTCATAGTTTCAAAACTGCTTGCATCACCAATCCTATGTCTTTCGGGATGGAACTCTAAGTTTTAAAACAGTGGTTTTCCAGCTCAAGTGTGCATTCTGACTGCGCCCGGAGGGCATCTGTCTTTTAACAAGCTCGACAAGTAGTTCTGATTCAAACACTTGTGACCACAAGCCACAACCTCAGCTTTTCATTTGCCAGCGGTTCCCCTAAATGATGGGTGCAGGAATCCAGCTGCGGCAAAGCAGAGAAGCAGGTGGAGTGAGGCTTTGACCAGCCTTGCTTCCCATTTCTAGTGACGTCTTGCTCCCCTTTCTCCCTGCTATAATGCTGTAGGCATTCTTTCTCACCCTGAGACTGAAGAATAAATGTCGGTACACTCAGGGGGCATTTCAGGCTTATTTTTTAACTCTGAAATGAAAGCCTTTCTTATGCATGACAGCTGCAGAGCAGACAGGAGAAGAATTTTCCAGACATAGGAGGGGCGAAGCCACCACTGAAACCATACCACTAAGTATCTTTTCTCCTTAAACTTAACACTGGGCCTAGGCATTGGTCTTGACACAACTTCTTTCAAATAGCTTCAGCATATGCTGGGAAAAACAATTTAATTCCTGTTTTTTCCTAGGAGGGTGGGGCTGAGAAGAACAGGTAGAAGAGACAAAGCAAGCAGATAAAAAACGTTTGCCAATGACAAGTTATCGCCAAGTCCTGTCGGTTCTTCTTCAAACTTTCTGTATTGAAATCTACGGGTCGTCCAGTAGCTCATTCAGCTGGAGCGCCTGTCTCACCCCCACAGCGTTTCCAGAGCTGCTCCCCTCCTGTGAAGCTCCAGGAGTCTGATCTGAACAAGCTGGCTGAAACAATCTGAGTGAACACAACGGGGAATTAGATACTATTAAGGATTTTGGTTAATTTAGTTTGTTGTGATTATGGCATTGTGATTTTGTTAAAAGAAGTGTGTTTTTATCTGTTAGAGACACGTAAGGGAGTATGTAAGGGTGAAATGATTAGTCTGATTTACTTTGAAGACCTCAGAGGAAAAAGTGAGGAATAGATAAAGCAAGATCAGTCAAATGCTGGTAACAATTGAAGCTGGGTAATGGGTACATCAGAGTTCATTATAGTACCGTCTCTATTTTTATACCTATTTCTAAAATGCAGTTTTAAAATAAAGTTTTTTTGCATACAGAAATAATAAATTGCTAAATGCTAAGTAAACACTCTCTCTATATTTTTCTTCTTCACTACGACTGCCTTTGCTTGGGCTCTCTTTGCTTCTCTCCCAGAATATTATGTCAGAACAACCTTCTTGCCGGTCCCTTGCCTCAAGTCTCCTCCCTTCTAACGCACCCCCCACACACAGCCTGAGTTACCTGACAGGCCAACCCAACCATGTCACTTCTCCTGCTCAGAAATCTTCCATGGCCCCACACTGCCTCCGGGACAGGTCAGCAGCAGTGCTAGACACACATGGCCTCATGAGCTTGTACGTGGCTCCTTCTCTAACCGTCTCTCTTGCTTCTCCTTCAACAGGCTGAGCTTCTTCTACATTCCCTAATGCATCAGTCTCTCTCATTTCCCCGGCCCTGCCCACCATTCCCCTGCCCTCCTCTGTCTGACAAACTTCTCATCCTGCAAGTCTTAGTCCTAACACAACTAAGTATGTTAAGAGACAGTTGTCCCTATGGAAGATTGAGATGATAGCCTTTACTCTGTGCTCCTTGGCTTGCCCTTGCCCTGTTCCGCTCTTCTGAGGCACCTTGTTTCTTTGCGCTCTTCACCCCTGGTCATTATCCCATCATTTACTTGTCATCTGTCTCTTATTAGGTGTTAAGTTCTATGTAGACAGGAACCATGCCATACACTCACACATACACATATGTGTATATGCATATATATACTTGTGTATATATATAAAATGCGAAGAATGAATGCTTTTATTATAGCAACAAGCAGACTGACTATAATAGTTTATATGCATAATGCTCCATAAAATGATATGCTCATTTAGGGCAGTGTATTAGTCAGGGTTCTCCTGAGAAATAGATCCAATAGGATGTATATATCTTATATACTATATGTATGTGTGTGTGTGTGTGTATAAAATATACATATTATATACATATTATATATATATATTATACATACCAGGGCCTTGAATAACTTTTCATTCAAGTTTTTTCTTGTTTCATTAAATATTATTTTGTTATAACATTGATGAGATGCTATAGGAACTTAACTGTTTTTCATATCAGTCTATGGTAAAATTGGTTCTGTTATACATTGTTTGGCTTAAAGTCACAGAACCTATGACTAATGGTAAGTGAGGACTTACTGTATATTATATACATACATATTTATGTATGTGTTTGTATATGAACAGATTTATTATAAAGAATTGGCTTCTGCAGTTGTGGAGGCCTGAGATCTGCCCGGTGAGTCGGGAGTTGGACACCCAGGAGGAGCTGATGTCTCAGTTTGAGTCTGAAGGCAGAAAAGAAGTCAGTGTCCCTGTTCAGAGGTCGCCAGGCAGGAAGCATTCTTTCTCCCTTGCAGGAGGGTCAGCCCCTTTGATCTGTTCAGTCCTTCACCTGATTGGATGAGGCCCACTCACATTAGGGAGGGCAATCTGCTTTGCTCGGTCTATTGATTTAAATGCTAATATCCATTAAAAGCACCCACATGGAAACACCCAGGATGACATTTGGTCAAATATCTGGAGCTTCCTGAATGACCCACCACAGGACCCTGCTTCAGAGTTACTTATAGCTAACTGCAGTTTCAAAATAACATAGTTATACATTTTAACGAATATGTGTTTTCTGCTGTGTGGCAGGTGCTAGGGGTACTGCAACGAGCAAAGCAAAGTTCTCCCTTTCTGAAGTTTGCCTTCAAGATTCTCACTGGTGGATCTCCAGCCTTCCCTTCATTATTATCAGGTATATGTGCTCAAGATTCTCACAAATGAAAGAAGGAACTTCCCCTGGTCTCTCATCCCCCTGTAGCTGCAGTCTAACTTCCCTCTTCCACCCTGTATTTCCACGCTTCTTAGAACTGCAGCCTACATTCAGGGACTTCACTCTTTCACCAGCACCTCCCTATCTTCCACCTCACCATGCTATTAAGGAGCTTTAACTAGAACCCTCAGTTTCCACCTACACACTTTGGGTTCTTATCTTTTCACACCTCTCTGCTTTTCTTGACACTTTTGATCCTGTCTTTTTCCTTCCTTGTCATGTGTGTCATTGCTCTCATCTGGCTTGCTCTCTTCCTTCTCTGTCTCTCCCACAAGCCCCTCTGCCTCCACCTTCCCCTTCGGTGCTGAGGTTCCCAAAGGTCTCCATGCCATCCTCCTCTCACTCTGCACACCTCCCTGGGTGGTCTCATTCCCTCCATCATTGAATCTGCTATCTTTTTGTTGATGACTTCCAAGCTGGCATCTCCAGTCCAGACCTCTCCCCACATCTCCAGACTTAAACATCCAACTGCCTGCTGGACAGTTGCCCAGATCCAACTTGTCCTAAACGGATCACATCACCTTCTCTCTGTTTCTGTGCGCCCTTTCCCAGATGGTGGCACCACCTTCTGCCCAGTCACCAAAGCTAGAAGTCTGGATGTTATCACTGACTTTTCCCTATTCCAATTCCACTGCCAAAATCCCCAGCCTGGAGAACTAGAAACTGATGGTGGGGCTGAGTGTGGGGCAGCATGAGCCCTCTGGAGTCCAAAGAAGCTGTTCAGGAAAATAATCACCAGGTCCCAGATGAGATGAAGGCACCTAACAGAAACTAGGAGCCCAGAGGCAGAGAAAATAAGGAACTGTCACCTTCATGTCTGCAAAGAGATTGGGCATCAGTCATTCGGTGACCTGCTCTTATCACTATTAATTACTTTCCCTTCCCTGTGAGTTCCTTGTCTGTTTTCCTCACTCTACTGTGGGCTGGTGATGATCTGTGGCTGTGTTTGCCTCAGGGGGCA